GTGCAAGTGATGCCTACAGCTCTACCAGCTGAGAGTTGCCGCAGGTGGGCAGCGTAGCCAGCCCACTGGCCTCTGGAGCACACCACCAAAGGCACATCTGCTCTACAAAGCTCCCACAGAGATTTGCAGATGAAAAAAAAAAAAATAAAGAAAAGAGAGAGAACGGTGCAGCTGAAAAAATAGATTTTTTTAATTGCTTCGTGGCTCTATTTGCATTACTTTTGCGTACGTTTGTAGCCCTACGCACCTCTACATGGACATTTACAAAGCTAGATGAGCAGATAAGATGATAAAATAAATATGATATTCTACAGCTTTTTTTTTTTTTAAAAACAGCTGCCAGAAAGACATCCCCCTGCAAAAGCCCCCAAACCCAGCATTCTGTTGAAAAGCATCATTTTCCATTATGTTTTGGTCTATTCTGTTTCCCCTCCAATTTGTAACATTCTGCTGGAAACAGTGATGAAGAACATATGCCTGCGGTAAATTACACCCAGGAGAAATCTCGGAACTGTTACATTCAGTTTTATTACCCAAGGCATTAAGATAGTCTACCACAACACGTATTATTTAACAGTTCCATCAAACACAACACCACTAATATACTTTTATATTATTATGCATGCGGAAAAAAAAAAAAAATCATATTTCTTAAATCTCATTGGGTGATTAACGTGTTGCACTTTCATTTTAATTAACAGTTCCAGAATATTTTTAGCACTTCAGTGAAACAAGGTGTTACATAAATGCAGAGTGCTATTGTACAAATATTTTGGAAAACATATGTTCAGGCAACAATAAGGCTGAGAAGCTTAACACTCAGCAGCCAGGAAATTGTGAGTGCGTGTGCTTCTTTCACAATATAAGCTTACGCAAGTGCTGCATCTTAACGTATTCTGCAGAGGGCTGTAATCATCTAGGCTACATCAGGGAAATCCAGTGTGGCCAGCTGGATGGATAGACTAACATCCCCGAGAATCGCCTTCTTTTCCACTACTGCGAATACTAATCCAGTTTCACTAGGTAACACCAAACCCCAGGCATAGCATAAATACCCCCTGTGCACTGAGGGACTGCGTCTTTTGGGGCAGGTTTGCACTAGTTTTGCGAGGCGGTCACATCACTGGAGATGTGCTATAGGCACAGACTCAGGCAAGCGTAAGTAAGTTTACATTTAACAAGTTTAATAGGAATAAAAGATTCCTCAAATAAACCAGGCTATTACTTTGACAGATGACTTGACCTCAAAAGTCAAGTTTTCTAAAGTTTTACAAGGGTCTTGCATTTTATTTCTCAAGTGACTCCATGGGAACAACAAATAAAAACAACAAAAACGTGTAACTGTCAAGACTGCACACCTTCCATGCTTTGCAGAGAAGAGGAAAGCAAAAGGCTTAGGCAGCAGTTCAGAGCCACAGCTGAGATACGGCTTTTAATTTCAGCTTAAATCAACCAAACAGCCTTGGTACAGTGTTGGGTCCAAACTAAACCCAAAACATCAGGCACCAGGTGTATGGGGAAGCAGAGCACAAAGTCCTCTCTGTTCAAAGAAATGTAATCACTAATACCTCAAAATGTAATTTAATGCTTTTTCTTCTTCAAGTTCCAAGATGAGTCACACAAAGCTGAGAGTGCCAGTCCACTTCATGAACTGCAAACTGAGACCCAGAAAAAGTTACTCGCTGAATATCATCTACAGAGTCTCACTTACTTTATTAGTACTTATTCATCATGTGTAAGAATAACTGAAGCTGTATGTTTCTGGTTCTCTTTGGTGTTCAGTCCATACACTGAACGCAGCCACGGCTCATAGCAAATACACTTTATAATCACGAAATTGAAGATTGTGCTACAATGCACGCAGGAGTCAAATGATGGTTGCATGGGAAACGGAGTTACTGGCATTTCTCAGCTTTGAAGTGCTTGGCTTTGCAGCCTACACGCTATTCTGTATGCCTTTTTAAAGGCAATTTTGCTTTCTTGCTATAACGAAAACTGTCCACTCGTGCATCGCTAGCAGGGTTTGAAACCTAAACCTGCAGCTCTGCAGGTCAAGCTCCTTAGTAAGAGCAGGTTTATTGCAGAATGGATATTGAATATTCAGGAACTTGGGTCCCACATGAGAACCTGGAGGCAAGGAGTGAGCCAGCAGGGAGTGTCTTGAATCTGCCCGGTAACTGGCTTATTCTCTCCTGACATGTCCAATTTAACATTCTTCCTATCATTTACCTTGATGGAAAACTCAAAATAAGACCACGAATATTTTGCTTTGTTCTGATCACGCGTGAAAGATTCCAAAAATTACTGAAATTTATTTTAGTCTAATTAACTTCTGTGGCCATATAAGAGCAGAAAGGGTTTGCTCTTGTTTCTGACTTAGAGTAAAATGAGGGCAGAAGGCTGTAGGTCCAGACCATGATCTGTCTGGACCCGTGGCTGTTGTTAACCTGCAGAGCTGGGCTGACCTCGTACACACAGACCAAGCTGTACCTGCTAAAAGGAACAGCCAGTCCGTAGTTCACAGCGTGTCCTGCTGGAAGCAAAAGACGTCTCAGCATTATATCTTCTATTGTACCGAAAAGGGAAACTGGTGCTGCTATCTATTCCCCGACTTCCAGCCCTGCTACAGAGACAGCTGTGCCGTTGAAAGAAAGCTTGTGGGTGCTCACAGCGTTCAGACTTGCTTCGCCCCTCAAGCAGCAAGCAAGGTACCCAAAATTCAGAGGGAAGCAGGATGTAGAACACAGGCCTGGCAAAATACAGGTCAAGGAAGAGTAGGTCTAAAGCTGCTCGTGATTTCTCAGTCTTCTCAATTCAACTGTACTGCAAATATAGCAAATTACAAATTCAGCAAATTCCACTAATGCTGAGAAAGCAATCTGCTGGATGAATAAAGGCTTGAAAACTACCTAAGGGGCATTCCTAGAAATTCCGCTTCATACTTTCGTCCCAAGAAAATATGTATTTTTGGTCATGACAATAAGTTTTAATTTTTTTTTTCCTCTTTTACAAAGAAGTCGAAAGAACTGTCATTCTAAATAAGATGTAAAACCAAAGAATGCTGATGAACCAAAAAAGTATGCAAGCAAGGGGAAATACTATCACACACTTGTGCAGAAAGCACAAACACGGTTGTGCTAAACACAAAGATACAGAAACAGAAGGATGCAAGAGCTCTGGCTTTGTGCTATACAATTAACTTCATAATGTAATAATGATGTGCTTGGTCTAAAACTACCTGTACTGGGTCTGGTTGGGATTGAGTTAACTTTCTTCACAGAAGCTTGTAGGGTTCTTTGTTTTGGATTTGTGGCTAAACTCGCTCTGATAACAGTCAAATGCTTTGGCTGTTGCTGAAGGGTGTTTGCACTGTGTCAAGGTTTTCTCTTTTTCATAGTCAGATGCCCCACACAACAGAGGGAATACTTATGCCTAAGGAGATGAAAGCCGTACTTCAGACACCCATCATGCTTTTAATAGTCCACCCACTATGTAAAAAGACAGAAGGAATTTTATTTCATAAACTGAAGAATTTTTGAACTGAAACATCCATTCACCTGTTCATTTGCCCAGAAGTTGAGAGCAAACGCCCAGATATTCACTTTTATTCAGGAAACATGCATGCTGGAAATCAGGCATGCAAGTATATTCGTAAAAACTATGGAGTTATTGACAGGTTATGGAACATAAGACAAGCACAGTGTCTATTTTGATCTCCATCTGCGCTTGCAACTGTGTAACCTGAGAGGATGAAGAGCAACACGGGAAGTATCCCTGTACACAGGAACCCAGCTTCTCTTTGGTACTCGACTGAAGTTTTAGAGACTTCAAATCTTCCCATATTTAGGTTTGGCACAATGAAGGGAAATTCATAAAACTGTGTACCAAAACACTGTCAATCATAGGAGAAAAAGCAAATTATGAAAATGGAGGTTTAGAAATGACTGCACCGTATCCAGTAGAAGACACCACTGCAGTTGTACAAAATGTGCAGTACATATTGAAAAACAGGAGAGCAAAAGTCTACAAGAAGCCTGGAATACTGGGGGTACCATGGCCAGAAGCATTAAAATAACAGCACAGTGCAAATATGACTGAACATGCCCATTTCTACCGTAAGAGCCTTTTAACCATTAAACTGTTTTACACTCAAAGCAACAGCAGAGTGGTCAGGCCACATTTTGAAGCAGAAGCATCCACAGGGAGTAATACCAGAATAACCAACAGCGGAATTACTCCACTGCCCTTGAGACTCTCCATTCTTAGTTCAATCGTAAGCTCCTCACAACAGTTTGATTTATGTTCATACCCTACCTCAACGGTGACCTGGTCGATGACCTGTTCCCTATTAGTAAATATTGAGAAAAGTGACAGCAGGAAGCAAGATCCCTTCTGCCATTCAGATACACCACCCTCGAGCCATAGTTCATTAATGAATGTTTTTTAACAATTTTTTTTTTTTTAAATGTGACACCAGCAGCAAGAGGTTAGGACTTTTTCTACTCCACGAGTGCTCATCTAAAAAAAGGCTTAGCGTGCTATTTTTAAAGGCTAATGTTCATGTCGTTTCAGCAAAAAGCTCAATGTTGGTTTTAGACACATTTCTTCTTTTATGCCACACAGGCCAGCTCCTCGTATTCACAAAACAACTGTGGTTCACTGAACATGCTTCCAGGATTAATTTTGACTTCCCAGGGTCAACTTTACACTGATCAATGAAAGAAATCGTGGAAAAGCTTACCTTATGAAAACACACAAACTTAGCCAACCTTTAACAAAAAGAACAACTTGTAGAGCTTTCATCAGACTCAGCACTATTCAAGAACAGCCCGTCAGCACTTGGCATATATGAACATGGGAGATGGAACGAATCTACAGGAAATCCTTGTGCTTACTCACGTACCCTCAGCACCACAGACGAGTCAAGCCGCTTTTATGTGTTTGTCCCAGTTCCTGTGTTCACAGCCATCCAGTTTCTCACCACACAAGCAGAATCTTACCTGTTATTTTCTGCAGCACAGGAGATGGTTCTGGCTCATCACAAATGGCCTTGACTAGGGCCTTTTTCACCTCTTCTTCGGCCGCGTCCAGCTCTTTTCCACTTTTGATTTCTCCGACCACAGAATACATGTATACCAGCAAGACAAGGAAGTCCTCGCAGGTATAATCATCTTTCGTTCTCTCATTGTGAGACTTGATCATTGGCAATAACTGGTTCAAAACACTGGGCATTTCTGACTCGCCAATAGTCTGAAAAACAGAAAGAAGATCATGCCAGATTGGCCCTGGAGTGCTTATCAGACATCAGACATACTCCCGCCTGCATCCGCAAGTTATTATTTCTCATAATAGCAGTGCTCATTTAATGAAGCATCGTTCAATATTTGCATTCTCATTTGTCAGCACATCGTCCTATGACTTATTTGCAGCTCAGATAGCAAATTTATTAGTTTCCTGCAAGTTTTTTCCTCAGCACTCACGATAGCAGCCTCTTAGCACTTGAAAAGCTTGAAGATTAGATCTTCTCCATGTACCAATAAGATGTGAGGATGGGAGCATCAGTCTTTGCGGTATGGGTAAAAATGGTACAACACACAAGGTCAGATACTTCCTCTAAATTCTGGTCCTCCTCCTTGGGCCTGATTTTGTACTTGAGCAGGGAGTTCAAAGCCCAGCTCCTACTCACTTCAGTTGCTCTTGTGAGCTCTCAGCACATCTGCAAACCTAACCCTATGCTTTCAGGTCAGAAACCCACAAAATTAGAAACAGAGGGAACCACCTGTGAAGTGTGTGGTTTTAAGTGACCGGTGGGGTTTCCTAGAGGAGCTAGGCAGGGCAGCAATCACCTGCATGGCGTGTGCCCTGACCCCCTTCTCCCTCTGCCTCCTTCACAGCACACTGGACAGCTTCTCAAGCCATCTAACAGGGGTCTTCCACACCGAAAAAACCTTCTGTGTTGGGCAGGTGAGGCTCATTCCCACAGCACATCCACGCTGCGAGGTAAGTAAGGCAAAGGACATGTGGAAGCGGGGAGAACTACGTGACCGTGAGGCTGAAAGATGACCATAATGTGTATATGAGGAGAGGAAGGCTGGCAGAGAAAAGGAGGGGGAAACTGAGGGTGTGCTGGGATGTCTTAGGTCCTCAGTAGTTGAAACCACACTTGCTGCTTCTCATCTCTGTGGGAGAGGTGTCTGTACAGTTTTCCTGTCGTCGTAAAAAGGAGACTTCAGGCATGAATCCCCTGAAGCACCATGCTGACATCCACATCACCCAACACCAGGGCTGGGGTTTAGACCCACCGTGCCAGTCTCTGCCATTCAGGACAGCGGAGTGACTAATCGTAGCGGCAAACTGGCACCCTCGCTGCGCACACACACCTGCACATTGACATCTCCACACACTAGTCTTCTGCTGTGGGTTAGTTTGCAGCTCAGCAGTGGGATCGGGCGAGAAGCGGGGCCAGTGGAAGGAAAGCAGGAGGAGCAGGGTCCCTCTGCGTGAGGAGCAAGGTGTGGGAGGAGAGAACAGCTGTTCTCGCTCGGTAGCATTGCTCGGATCCATCCAAGAGGTCTCCCGCAACACCAGCACCCTGCCCCTTGCCCTGCGGTCACCAAACAGCCCCCTGTGAAAACCTGTGGGCCAATTCACAGTGTACAGCAAAACATCAAATCTCTCATAGTCCAAAGAGTCATGTCTGCAAACATTTATTCTTGGTTGTTACTACAGTAACTTCAAACAGACTAGTCATAGTAAATGGGCACCAGAGCCAATAATATACCCTTTAAATAGATCCACAATAAGTAAATAACATTCAAAACAAACCAACCAGAAAGAGACACAGGTTTATACAATAACAAAATCATGCAAGTAGGTTTATCGCTGCTTTTAACTGCAATAATTTAGTTCTGAGGTTTTCTGACAACCGAGTGTTTTTTTTCTGAAACCTGGGCAGGGATTTCAGAGTCTAACTTTAGGAACACAGGAACTGAAAGTTTCGTGTCCGGGCATACTCCGTACAACACTTCAAGAGGTCCCGGTTTTGGTTCTATTTTGTTTCAGTTGTTTTTTGACAATCTCATAAACACTAACAAGCATCTCATGAACAGTTATTTTTATACCTACACCGATCTACTGCAAATCACGATCATAAAGCAAGCACAAATTACCCAAGCTCTCAAGAAACATTTTTCCAGCCTGTGCTATAGCAAACAACACTTCTGCGGACTTTGGGCCCCACCCTGCTCCTGACATACCAGTTTTGCCATGGACCCATCTTTCAAGGGACTTTAATGTGGTCAGATGTTACGTTCCTATTCGAATACATACCTTAGAGAAGAATTCTCTGACTACCCACATGCTAAACCTAACAGTAAGTGCACACTGCGGACTCGAAGCAGTAAATTACAAAGCTACAGTGGTCAAAAGCATGTGGGAGCCAAAAAGGAACTTTTAGAAATCCGAGAGGGGTTGGCGCAATGTGTGTGTTTGGGCAAGGAGCGTTAAATCCCATGCACAGCAAGTCCAGGCATTGCTCCACCTGGGAAGCAAGTCTATGGTGTTTGGCGCCGGTCTGGCATACGCTGGCAGCTGGGCCACCCTCAAGGCAAGGCTGCCGGCTCCCAAATTTCAACTCAGCCCTGCCCCAGCTCAGTATTACCTGCTCTCTTCTCAAGAAGTGACACAAACAAATTCTTGTCTGTATGCCAGTACAATAAATATCAGATCATCCAGATCCTAAAATGGAAAAAGACAGAACTTCGAGGAATTCAGAGGTATGCAGCTACCGGGACGCCACCTGCAATGAACAAAAGTCCTAAAAATCTAAGAACTGAAGATTAACCTACATGAGGAGTTATTCTGGAGCAGATGACAAACTTCAATCTATATTAATCTGAATTCACTTTTAAGGCGAGGCAAGCCCCATGCCAGGTATTACTGATCATCTACTGGCGCATCATCTATTCCCTCCTTCCCTCCCAACACACAAATTCTCTACTTCACCCCATCTCTAAACGTCTCATAGCATACTCCTACAACACCACAGATGAGTTCTTGAAAAAGCTGTATTTTGCATACACAAATTTTCCAAATGCATGGAGCACTGAGAACGCACACGTTTGTATAAAACAGTAGGGTCAAGAGCTCCTGCTTGAGGACAGCAGCTCCTGAAAGTACACGTGTACAGCATCTCCGGCAAACTTTCAAACATACATGATAACAAAAAAAAGAAAAGGGTCTAAACTTTCAGGATGATTTACTGTAGGGCGGGCTAAAACTCAACAACTTAAAGCAACAATTGCCACCTCTTATCTTCAAAGGAAAAATGAAAGAGAAAAAAAAATATTAAAGAGCTATAATAAAACGTTAACTTCAGAACGCACGTAGGGTCTTTCTGGGGTATGAACTTCTCTGGAATGTTTTTCCCTTATCTCTTGGGAAATGGCACTACAGAGGACTTCAAATGGAACTGCCAAGTTTCAGAGGCTATTTTGTCCAAACCGGCCAGTTGGACTGGAGCGTGCATGAAAAAAAAAAAAGGGACTTGCAGCCTCATTGCAGAGCACAGCTCCGCAGGGAGCTGGGAAATTTGCCTCAAACAAACTCCACTGGCAGATTGTCATTATCTGGCCACCTCTGATGATTTAGGGGCTCCCTGCACCGCCTAACAATCAATCAATTACCCTGATTGAACAACCCTAAAACACAAGTTTTAAAAATGTAACTACCCATGACCCAAATTTCCTGCTGGTTATGTTGGCCTCAGGTTAGCCCCATTTGTCTATCATCAAGGGAGCCAATAAAAATAATAAAAACAGGTCAATTCTGAGCTTTCCAAAGGCTGTATAAAAACATTAACGCTGCTTAATGCAGAGCCAGTTAAGGCCCAAGCTCTAACGCCTTCTGCTCGGTTGTATCGTTTGGACATTTTAATGCTATAACCATATATTCTTCAGAATCCAGGGAGAGTTTGTGATAGATTTTTGTTGTTTTCCATTTCTTTTCTCCACCCTCCTTAGTTATTTATTTTTATAACTTAAGCTGTGTAATAATTTACTATCCCTAAGGGTAAATGAACTGACGTCAAATTGCTGATTTTTGCAAAAGGCCTGAGTTTTGGCAGATGGGAGGATAGTGAAGAAAGTACAAAAATAAGTTTTTCAGTTTTTTAAACACTGAACATGATATTGTGCTTCAAAAGTGACATTTAAAATGTGATTTAAAGGATCTACAGGAATTAAGAGGAAGTGCAATAAACCCATGAAAAAATGTTTTGCATTTCTGTGAAAGGCATTTTTTTTCAGTATTAAATAAACCTGTAAGAATCTAAAGCTGTATGTATCATTAGACATCTTTTACACAATAGAAAACAGAGTGTGCTGGGGAGGAAGAGAAGAGGAGGGTCAGAGTTTACTTGAATTAACACGTGTCCCTGACAAAATTGAGAAGAGAACTGAGCACTCTAATCCCTGCGCTTCCAGCCCACTGTCCTCAACACATCATTAAAAATATTAAAGCAAAAATCAACTTCAAGCAAGTGGAATTTATTTTCTTTTAAAATCCAGGAGGAAGGAGGAGATAAATCTTAAGAGACTACTTCACTATGTAAATATTCTAGTGGCTTTCCGTTTAGGAAGCAAAACACGTTTAATTCCTTCAGAGGTCGCATGAGTTAACCGAACTTTTTGGAATGGGAACCACGCAGCTTTAAAACAGCGAGGAATTCTGTTGGGGAAAAACAAAACTAAAAAACAATCCCCAAATCCAGCTGCAGGTAAGATCAGCAGAAGGATCAGTGGAAACTCACAAGCCCTTGGGTCATTTGCTGCCCCACAGTCCTGGACTGCCCTGTTTAATAGAAGCTCCTTTTATTCGTAACTTAGGCGGGAAGAGAGGGTTCATGAGTTGTGGAATAAGCAGCTTTCCAATGTTGCTCTATTTGATTTGCCATTTTTTACCTGGATCTGACATTTTGTGTTTCGTGATTTTGCCACGCATCGTATTAACTTCCTCGGTATCCAGACGAAGGCAGAATATTCTAGTTGCTAAGAGTGACAACGGCACTGAGGGAGGACCTCATGGGTGTGCAAAACCAGCTCAGATCCTTGGATGGCAACAGATCTCTGCAGCAGTAGTCATCTTAGTGAAAACAAGAGGCGCTGCCAAGCTAAGGAGGAGTCTTAGCTGCCTGCAGTGCTCAGCTGCCCATAAATCAAACACTGCAGTTCTTTTCCTCGCTGTTTTACACT